GCGTAGGCGCAATAGAAGCGAGGACCTTTGCGTAAACAATTAATATTGGGTTCCGTAATGTTTTTATATAAAATTAATTATTTTGATGCGTTTTAAATTAGTAAGTAGTAAGATGTGTTTCTATTTGTTTATTTAGTGTATTTTAATAATAGTTTTAGAATAATCTATTGTAATTATTTATAATTTATATGGTTTCGAAGCTATTTTTAGGGCAACAAGGTACAACGTTACAATTGTTATTGTGTTCCACAAATGTCAAGTGATTGATTTGGTTGTATGCCTTTCTTCATATTATGGACTCAAAAGCTTTAGTACCTTTCAGGCATATTTACGATTATTGATGCACTTAATTCATTTAAATATTGTCACATAACTTTTATTCTCAGTATGTTCAATATAGACAAGCCATATGGCTTATCTGATTTCTTTTTACAATCTCTCTCAAGCAGAAATTTAGTTCTAAACCCTGTAATGTAACTCAACTCATAAGCCATTTCCTATCTTCTTTACATGGGACTTACTAGCATAACTGGCAAAGTTAATGATATACTTAGCATTAAAATTTATAAGAATGAAAACTATAATGTTATGGAAGTGGAAGTTAAAGAACCTCATGTTTTTTATTTTTTTTATATTTATATTTTATAACACACAGCATAGCCTCATCTTGTGTATGATACTTTCATCCTTGAACCAATTTTGTATTATTGATGAAAGGATGAAAGCTTCACTAACTTAGTAACCATAGATATAATAATCATAACTTTATAGTTTAGTATTGTCTATGATACATTTTCAATTGTATAATTTGATTTAATTAATATATTTCTTTTATTCTCCAAAGGAGAATGGCAGGTTTGTATGGAAGTTTTGTACCGCTATAAAATTTTGTATTAGTCATTGTTTTAACCAAGTGAATAGTCTGAACGATAGATATTTTTATTTTGAAGTTTAGAAAAAAATTACATATTTTTAGAACTTGGGGTTCAAAAGTTATTTCACTTTGAAAATGTGCAAAAGGTATGTTAAGGTGGTACCACACTTGACATTGCGTAGTCGCTTCATTTGTCCAAATATTTGTAGACTACGTACAAATGGCGTCCAAATAGTATCTCTATATGTAATGGCGTGCAAATATATAGCAAACAAAGAAGAATAAATCCTCCAAACATGTTCTTTTTTGGCCGAACACAACAAATACGCAACGTCAAGTGTAGAGCCACCGTAAGCAAAATATCTATTACAAATGACAGATGACAGTTAACTGAAAAATGTCAATGTGCTCTCATGTGGTTGTTTATTTACAAAAAACAAAAATCTAAAAATACTGCTCGCTACTCAAGTGACTATTACACTTTGTATTATTAGAAAGAAAGAAAGAAAAACCATTTATTTTGCTACGACACACAACAAGAATTTAGAAACCCAAAAAATAACCTATGGTGCGTCGCAGCGCAAAAGGCAATTAGGAATGATCCTGTTAATTCAGCATGCTTGCTGAATTCTCTATAGGTGCATCATGCTTGATGCACCTATAGAGTTTTAAAGAGTATGCCTCACAATCTTTTTCATTTCTTAGGTGCCTACGAAAATGCAAATTCATAATGTAAGCGACTGTCATTGGGTAGAAGGCCTACATTTAGCAGTGGAAGTCTTGTGGCGGATATGATAAAACTAATGTCTCACTTCACCTTGAATCTTGCAGGTAGATAGTCTCAAGGGTCTCAAGTTAATTCGATTTAAACTTAGCTTAGCTCTTTGAGAAAGTATTTCTTCTGAAAACTGGTTGCTTAGCACGCATGTAAGGATTAATTTCTAATAAGTAAGTCAAATTAGTAGAATCATCAACATTTTCATCATTAAGTCTATAAGTGGCCACTGCTGACCGAAGCCTCTTCTCGCATGGAGGTTTGAGCATTAATCACCATACTAGCTCAATGTGGGTTGGTAATTCAAACTTATAATAAGAAATTATAAGCCCATGTTTCCTCACAATGTTTTTCCATTCGTCAGCGGTGTCTTTGTACTTTCTTAGATTATTGAATATACCAATAACTCGGAAAAAAGACACATTGGACAAAAGGTACTTTGCCATTGGTAGGTTTCGAACCCGCACTCTCATGCATGAGAAGCGGGCTTCTTAAACCTCTGGGCCACCACATTACAACTAAAGAAAATGTAAAATGAAAATGACATTTTTGGTATAAAACTAAAGCTATCTAAATTAAATGTGGCATTTATTTTATAGATTGATTCTTAAAATCACTTTTATCAAGATGGAATATATAGTTACTTACTAGGTTAAAATAAAACAAATGTATTATTTTGAAATACTTTTATTTCATTGTATTCAGGTTGTTTCTAGGAGTACTTCATCTAAAAAGAGAACAGGCCGTGTCATAGGTACAGCAGACATCAATTGCTGATATCTGTAAACAAGTAAGATAACTGTAAATAAAGTAAACAAAAGTACATTTTTTTCCTTTAGTTTTATATGTTATAATATGTCTGATTCCCTATCTTAAAATGGAAAAGATAAAAATAAATATTTGATTACATTACTTGATTTTATAACATTTATTATAGTTATTCGTATAACACAGATCATAGGAGCTCAAACAGCATGCTAATTAATAAATTATAATTATAACATGAACTAATGAAGTATAAACCTATTAGAAACCGCTTATATACTCCACATAGATACATAATTATGTAGGTACATTACATTGAGAATGCATACCTGTTGAAGCTTTGAGAGCCGAACAACATCATCCGGCCTCATCTGTTCTACAAATGGCAATGTTAAAGTGAGGCTTAGTCCATGTTGACATAACACATTACTTCCTGATAGTGAACACTGTGAGGTGGTATGTCAGGTTGTGGTTTTATAGTTTCGACTCTTGTACGGTCTCTCAGTCAGTATGGAACATGATCTTCATCATGGGAAGTAAGCTAAAATAAGTAATATTATTAGAATATGATATTGACTTTAGATTACACTGTATATAGATAATAGTATGGTTAAATTATGCTTTATTACCTCTTGTGGCTGAATCCAATCAAATACTATATGAGCCAGTCTTTACTCCTGTTTGTTGGCGCCTTCAATTAAAACCCTGCGTCACCTTATCATTGCAATGAATCACCCATATACGACACAAACATGCCAGTGACCAATTTGTTTGCTGGACATACTTTCAGCAACATCCCGATACATTGCTAATTGCCAGCAAGCATTGCAAATATGGTCGGTAGGAGAGATCTAGAATAAAAAGAATAAAATGATACATTATGGGTAGATAACACTATGCGCCTTCTTTTATTCAGGCAACATGGTGACTTTCGATATGTAATGGGTAAACTAGGTACTTACATCTCTAGGATAAGTCCACATTGGGATATTGTTGACCACGTCTAATCTTCACTCTCATTTTCTAGAGCATGCCGTCTCATGTGCGACAAACTCTGAATGCAATTAATACACTGTAAATTCATCATCGCGACAAATAACAACACACTATGCACAAAATAATGTAAATAAGTGTCTTTTCGCAATTGTCGCAACAATGATGCCAATAATACCAATTTGGGCTACGGAGGAACGGTTGCCAAACTCAACGTATCACCAGATGAATAAAATAACTTCAAATTCAACAAACACATCATAACATCGCATTTGAAACAAACAGCAATGCGCCAGTATTGACAAATTAATTGTCAATGTCATCAAGACAAATGCCAGTTCAACATTGCCATATTGAAGTTTGTTAAAATGTTAATTATCATTAATAATCCATGTAGACGTAGATTTAGATTGGATGTAGATTTTTATATTTACTTATAAAAATGTTTGAAATGGAAAGGAAAATATTTCATTGATAGATATTAAAATAAATGAGTTTATGAAATAGCGAAATTCAATATGCTCTGATTTCATTTTTACGCATGGCAACTTTGTAAACGTCAATCGCGGTTCGTTTTACGTATAGTGGATTGCTTTTTATCATTATTGAATATCAGTTTTTCTAGGGTTTCCCAAGTTTTAAAAATCTATTAAATATGCTAACATAACGTACTTAGGAGATTCTATAATAACCCAATTTTTTAATGACAAATCTTTTTTTAGCGAAGCGGTACAAAATCTGCCGTTCTCCTTTGCCTATATTTTATTAATGACGTATTCGGAATTGTAACTAAGCTATGCTTATTTCTCTTTTCCAGAGTTCCAAAAGATCGCAATCGCCACTGCTATCGGATTCTGCATCATGGGCTTCATTGGATTCTTTGTAAAACTGATACACATTCCAATCAACAACATCATCGTCGGATCATAGGAAGCCTAGGATAGTTTTAGCCTTAATTCTACATTTAAGACCCTCAACAACTCCTTAAGTTAACTGTCAATTTCATTTATAAATGTTTGTTAAAAAATAAATTATTCAATTCACCCCACTTTTTCTTATTTTCTCTCTATTGGTTTGTTGTCCCATTGTGCATGAATGGATGGATAATCTGTAGTATCAGTGCTATGTTCTAATTGATTTGTTTATTGTGTAATATAATAAATAATATATTTATTAAATATATATACAATTGATCAAACTCCTTGCATTTTTTTCTATTTAATTCAGATAACATTAAAACTTTGTGGTTTAAGGTAACTAAGGAAAATGAAGCAAACAAATAAACAACTTAACAATTTTTATTTCATCACATTTGTCATTTAGTCTACAAAGTAATGTCACTTAACATTTTAGATTAAATCTAAAAGTTATAACTATTAAACAATAAATTTTGTACTCTCGCAACAATATTAATTTGGAACAACTTAACAATAAATTATATTGCTTTTTAAGCATTATATTAATTGGTATAGATTAAAAACACTAGATATGGCCTCGCCTTAATTTTGTTTTCTATATGTATAAAATTGGAATAAAAAATTTAGGTAAAAAATTATAACAATTTATTACTATTTTAGATCTTATCTATCAATCTCAAGCTTTTTCTAACACGTGAATATAAAAGCTGGGTACTGGGACTGCGCTCATTGGCTTGAAGTCGGCGTAGATTTCGTGTTTGGCGCGGTTATCGAATGCCTCATCCAGCATTGCGGTGAACTTGTCCAGTTTGTGGGGGAAGTAGCACAGACGGAATTCGCTGGAATAAGATAACATGAAATATTAATTTAACCGTCTAATGTGCCGGTGTAACCAATTAGCATAGTGGCTGGGTGGCCGACTGCTGTGCAACGTGTAAGGGGTTCGATTTCTGCGTTGGGGAAAAGTAGTTAGACAAGCAGTGGTAATCAAGCAAACATATTTTCATATGATTATACTTCTCGTACCGAAATTCAAAAATCTAACAACGAGTCGGAACAAGTAAGTAAGAAAGTGTTGTAGTGTTAAAAAATAGATATTTTTTGTGCATGAAACAGATGCACATGGATATTTCATGGCGAATCAAGCCAATACACTAATTGATTAAGGAGTATAGCTATTAAGTACGGGTATCTTACCTCTTCTCACTGTTGGCATCGTCGTTGATGCAGTAATCTAACGCGACCAGCTGAGCCTTGCCGCCCACGACTAACACCGATGTCTTGATGTCCACTGGGTATTTGCACTGGAATTAAAGAAACAACATTTTTAGCAAACATATATCCATAAGGTACCTATATCATGTTTTTATGTATGAAGGGATAGGCAGGATACCCAGTCTACACAGTATATCAGCTTAGGTAGGTTTTGATAATTTCTAAATTCAAAAGTTTTAACATACAAAAGTACTTTTCCCGAATCGAGAACCGAGCCCAAAACTCCTTACTCGACATTTATTCTAGTGAGTAGCGAGGTATTTTTACTCGTGAAACTGTTAAACTGTCAGTGGACAGTGGAAATAACAATATGATTCGACCGGAAATGGAACCTAACACATATAACATCGCACTAGTCTATAAGCCACTCCCTCAAAAATGATGAAAGGGATAACAGATTACACGTGATGTTATTCAACAGGCACTTTAAAATCCTTGAACTTTACAAGTTCACACACATATTTGTCATCATTAACTTGTTTATCATGTCGCAGATAAAATTGAAAACTCGCCGATGACCCTGTTATTTAATGAATTATCTCCTAGCTTAATAAATAGTGATAAACAAGATATTAACACTATATTAAAGAAATGTATTATAAACACGTCGATAAAGTTACGAAATTGTTGACAAAACTTGCCTAGAAACAAGTTACAGTCACAATTCACAAACAATTATTGTTACAGATAGCAACGAATAAATAAAGTTAAAAATTAATCTATTAAAATTCTTAGATCAATTTCATTTTCCATTGGTTGGCGTAAACACTTAAATACAATTATTTAAACGCTCTAAGTAGGCACCTACCTAACACCGGAATGAACTGGATTACAAAGAATACCTACTGATAAGATTGTTTCTTTCTGGTTAAGCATAAAACATCGTTTTAGTCACAGATGTTAATTTTATAACTACGCGAGGCTTAGAAAATTGTATAAATCGTAGAACAATTCACTACTACTTCAATTATTGATTGGCTCTGATACTATCCGCACCTGTGATCTGCACTATAAACCTAAACTTGTAGTATCTACTTACGTAGGGCCTAGACTAGACCTACAGTCAAGCAGAATCTATCCCTCATTATAATAGACATAAAGGCCAAAGGCATAGAATACTGCCAAAAGCATCAAAAACTTACATTGTAATAAATAGAGTGTCCAGGTGTGGCGCCACTATCGATAATGGCATCGTAATTCCTGTGGTCAATGAATAACAGACCGCCAGGTTTCAGGCATTTAGCGAAGTTCCTTAAGCACATTTTCTGCATCCTTTGGTCACCGTACTCATCTAGAAGATGGGCGAATGAGTTTCCAAGGCAGATGACGGCGTCAAATTGTGTGTTGGGTAGGAAAGCTTCAATGTCCCGGGGTAAAGTCTCCCAGTTAGCTTCTTCGATGACTGAAATAATAAAAGGTAATAAATAAATAGCTGTATGTACTTATACCGGTACAATGTGCAATATCACGCCACAATCGAGTGTGTTTTTCGTAATGAAAGCAAAAACGAAACCTTGGAATCCAACACCAACAATTTTAATATTTTTATAAAACATATAATAAATCTAGTCTTCTTAACACGAACAGCCTCAAAGTAGGTGAAATAATGTCTATGTTCTCATAATTAAGTAAACAGTTCGAAACTTACCCCACTCATCGTACTTCGAGTCTTTTCTCCTCTCCCATCGCGCCTTGAGGGCGTGCTTCAACATCTTGTCTGACGCGTCCACTGACACTACTTTGAAGCCTTCATTTACCAGCATCATGGAGTCTATCCTAGAAATACAAGTTTCGTTCATTAAATATGGAAAGAAATAGAAATAAACAAGAGTTTAAGATAGAAACTCTTTTTTTAAGGCGGGAAAATTATCGAATGACTGCTCCCGCCTGGGTGAGGCGGGAGGGAGTGTCAGACTCTTACTGACTAAAAACCACCCCGTTCCTTCTCCTGCACGTCGAGCCCCAGTAACCCGTTAGGTTCTCTGCGCTCTAGGTATCATTAAACCAAAGGTGCTTTCGAACATACAATCTATTTTTAATTTTTACAAAAGTTACTTGGAATAGCAGTCTACTGTTGTATGCATCTACGTTGAAACTACAATGTAACCTAAAACAGTCTCAGCCCTATCATCTCATCGTAAGTAGGAGCATTGTTACATTCTGCAACGTCATTCTTTAAACAAACGGAGCTCTATGTAGTTTAATCAAATTATTTTGGTCACCGACTTCTTATAATAAATGAGGTGTTGTCATGATGACCTAGTGCGTTAGTGGTCTCCTGACCAATAGGTTATTCGACCATATTACATTACTTAATTGAGCAGAGTGGTCTTCTGGGGTTTTTATTTAGGTGGGCAGAACCCTATGAAGAACGCCAGATCGCTGAAATACTCAAACGCCACTCAATTTTAAGTCACGCTTAAATATGTATAGTTCTGTCTCCACAAGTTCTTTGTAAAATGACAGAGATGGCACGATATTTAAGTACAATTTAAAATTAAGTAGCCTTTCAGTATTCGAGCGAAATTCTGTCTGACACTCACATTGGCCTCAACGGTTGTGATAAATGTTTTGTTTTCAATGTACTTACTTGCCTACATACTAGTGCCGTTTACTTTCACTATCTAATAAGTATTTGGGTTCCTTGCGAATTCAATGTCGAAATCACGTTTAGAATTTAGTTGAGAGTGTCGAGGTCACATTTTTGCAATTTTATTCCATCCTTGTGAGTTAAGGCAAGCTAAAGAAATAAGAGTTAAGGTTGTAGTAGTAGTTTCATGTTTGTCAGTATTTAAAATTGAACAGGAAAACATTGATTTGCGATGTTATCTGGTCATACCAGTTGTAGTCAGTTAAATCTTGGTTAATGACTAACAGAGTTCAAAGATAACGTATTATGAAACAAATCATAATTGCAGATAATTGTAGCATTTTTTAATACTCATGCTTAGGTCAAGTCACTAATTAAATGCCTGGTGCTTAGTCTATAGATCCTAGACTTATCAGAACAGGTAGTTTTCTGTCCATAGGGGTGTAAGTAGAACATAATCGTGTCAAGTTAATTACGTCCGATGCTGTAAAGACTAGTAAACAATACCTCACCTGGTAGTGAAATTGATGAGGATAATTCATAACTAGGTATTTGGTTTGTAGGGATTTTATGAATTTATTTATTTATTTATTTCTTCTTCACAAAATAAGATGAATGGCGGACTTAATGCCTTAAGGCATTCTCTTACAGTCAACCATAGGGAAGTGCAGAGAAATGAAGTGGTTGATGCGAAGACAGACAACAATAAAAAAATAAGATTATGTAAATGAATGAATTGTTTCAAGACTTTTTTTTTAAGGGGCGAAAATCATCGAATGACTGCTCCCGCCTGGGTGAGGCGGGAGGGAGTGTCAGACTCTTACTGACTAAAAACCACCCCGTTCCTTTTCCTGCACGTCGAGCCGGTGCCCCGGTTACCCGTTAGGTTCTCCGCGACTGTTTCAAGACTAGGTTTGTCGTTCTGGTTCAAAGATCATACATACAAAGTGTAAAGAACTCGAGAACATGTGCGCAGCAGCTAGTTGCAGCCACTGCGCCAATCATGCAGTCAATTAAATAATTATTTTAAAGGCTTTTACATAAAGTATCTACGAGAAGTGGATGTGGGTGATTAAGTAACACTTACCCAGTTCCACAAGCTGTGTCCAAGATTTTCTTGCAACCATTCTTCCTGAGGAGTCCAATCAAGAAGTCCTTATAATTCTGTGTCCTCTCGTTGCTGTCTCCAATGAATTTGTTCCATGTCCTGGCTGCCTTTCCATCTGCATACTGATCCTTTACTCCCTCGGAAGGTATACCTTCAGATCTTGAGTGGAACACTTGATCGGCGGACATGATTTACTGCAAAAAGAAGTATAAATGATATCAGCAATCAACAAATTTTTGTATGATGGTTAAACACAGCACACCCTAAGGATTCAAAATTTAATGCAGCCAACCACTTGCCACTGGAAACTTGGCAAGTCTGGCACCGACTACCTAAGTACCGGTGCATGTGAAAAGGCACAAATAGTGTCGGTCGAACTTAAAACGATAAATACCAACTTTAATATATAGGTAATTGCATGCCGACTGCACGGTTACTGCGCTCGCTGGGCAACTGGCTGCCGCGCAACGTGTCGCGGTTTTGATTCCCGCACGGAACAATTCTTTGTGTGATCCACAGATCGTTGTTCCGGGTCTCGGTGTGATGTGTATGAAAATCCTAGTCCAACGTTTTTTTTTCCAAAAAATAATTAATAGGTATTATTTAACTATCAAACCTAATCATTGATATCAAACTTATGAGAACCGGGGTCATAATCCCAGGTCGTCTATCACCGAATGTAGTACTTTACATTCTGTGTCTGAAGCGATAGATGACGCAAGATGATAGCAACGACCATAATATTATGTTTTTCTCGCGTTATCACCGTGATAACAGAGTAGCCTCAACTCGATGTTGCGATAGTGCCTCATATTGTTTTGGATCGATGTTTCTTAATCATAACAATGATAATGATTGTATCTATGGTTTAAAACGACGTCATTCGTGTTGTTTGTTGAAGAGGTAAGGCAGAAGTGTAATTAGGTACCTACAGCCTAGAGTGCAGTTACGAGGTGCTTTCGTATTTTTCTGAAATTGAACCTGAGCCCTTGCACTTGGTATTAACAGTCTTAACTTAACGTATTTTTGTTTTATTTTACAAGTCAGTAATAATCCGACTCGTGAAATAAGAAAAAAGACACTAAAATTATATAAGTTACACTTAAATAGGTTTTTAGCTTTCTTATGCGGCAAATGATCCTGCGATTAAATAATTATTTTAATATTAACCACTTTCGATAAGAATACCTGTTTTAATATTTCTGTGGAATAGACCCTAGTAACCTATCACATTAGAGATAACTGTGAACTTCTAGTTTCCCCTCCCCTGAATAGCAACACAATTCTAGGGGAATCCCTTCACCAACGACAATCTATTCATGAGATATTTTTAAATTATTGTGGGAATCACTCGTTAGCATAATAAATATCAAGCTGTTCTAAAATATCTGAATATTGTGTTAATAAATAAATATTCTTTTCATGTAAGTAGTTGTACAAACTTGGACGTTACCAATCTTAATTATTATATTTCCTCGATCCTAACTTGTTTGAAGAGTAAAACAATAGACCTATATTTAATAGGTGTGTTACTAAACTTTTTGGTTGTGATCTGGATCTCCTACTGTCTCTCATGATTGCGTGGCGTAAAAAAACAATGATGTAAACCAATAGAATTATTACAAGACTATTAATAAATAGTATGTTTACATTTATTTTTAACAAAATGCGAAAAGTCATACCTGTTTTAAACTTCAAAGATAAAATATCAGTCGGTTCGTAATTGAGAACTGGGCACTTTATATTGATGTATTTATTATTTTACGATAATATTCGCGTGTTTATTGGTCACAATGTCGTACGGAGTGGTCGTGCGGACGCTGCGAATGCGACTGGTTGCGTTGCTCACACGTCGCGAAATATAACCGTTGTTTGTTGTAGGGACAGTTCGACACGTTTTCTTAAACAGCCGATGTTGATAGGAACTATGTAATATGACAAGTGTTATTCGCTAAACGGGTAAGCAAAGCGGCTGTAACTTTTAAGTCTTAGAACTTAGCTCATCTAGGTAGCATGTACCTACTAAATATTTTGTCATCTCCCAGTGATCGAATCGAGCAAGTGAATATTTTTACGAGAACTTCAACACAATTTTCGGTTTGGTAGTCTTAGAGGAAGATTACTATTCGTAACTTAAATCGATAGTTGTACTACCTACTTACCCTACTTAGTATTTTGTATTGTCACCTGGTTATTTACGCTTTAGAAGGAAAATTAACTTGCCTACTAATATTTATTTTTCCTAGTCAACATTATCAACATAATAGTATACAAGCAGCTGTATGTATATGTATAACAGTACACTGAATACTACTAGTCATAAGAATCATTTTCGAGAAAGAAATACATGTAGGTAGTCCCTGTCTGCACTAGATTTGAACCCGTGAAACGGTTACGCAAAGCCGATCACCCATTTAATGCGTCAACCGTGTCGTCTTCATGCTGTGATCACTATGACATAGCAGATTTAAGATGAATAAGAATAGGTTTAAGATAAGATTAAACCGGAACTGTCATACACGATTTATCCTAGGCCTACTTAATTTTCTGAAATATGTTTGCAAAGGCTACTAAATAATTATACCTCTATTTTCCATTGTGAAATTATTCTTATATAGAACGCTGCAGAAAAAGTGAGAGATGTTTTTTTGTTCACAGCACTATCTGTCGGTTTTTCCCCTAAATTTTTTAGTAACTGTACAATATCGGCACACTATTCCGTACCGTAATAACTGAGAAAGGACAAACATACAAGAAATGCGTCCTTTGTGAAATGATAGATAGGTTTTCAATTTCTATACTTTATGAACTAACCAAATTCATTATCAGTATGTTAATACTACGTTGTCATGGTGGTGACGTAACATGTTAACGATTTTGCCGAGATGTTATCGTTACAAGTCACAAATATTGGGTCACATTCACGATACCGTCCGTTGTTTATGTTAGGTAAACCGGGGATGCGTGAACTCCGCCTTATCATAATTATAACAATCATTTTTTCGTTACAACTTAGATGATTTGAATTCAAAAATCCGTGTCGATGATGCTTTAAATACTGTTTGTTTTAAAAATTCGGAAAACTTTAGTTTGCATTTTTATAGTGAACTAGCAAACTCAGCCAACTCCGTTTCGCCACCAGATGGCTTCATTTTATGTAACATTCTTTGCTATAAACCTCACGGAGCCCGAGACCTTTCTAACGAATGCAAAACAGTGGAAATCGGTTCGTGCGTTCTGGAGTTATAGCATCAGGGAGGAAAACCCGACTTATTTTTATATAGTAAATAAAAGACGATTGTTAAATAAAAGTAGTAAATGATACAGAACTTTTTCCCAAAATCTAGGTACCTTTTTCTATTTAACACGTTTAACGCCATGAGGGTCACCGGTGACCGGCGTTAGCGGAGGATTTACCTTCAACAGTTTTTTTTGGCAGCCAAAGTCTTAAATATGTATTTAAATGTTTACGTCTTATAGAAAGTAGAAATACGTAGAAGAGTATGATGAAATAGGTGTGTTATTTACAATATTTTAACAAGCAATACCTGCTTGCTACGACAATAATTAAACAAAATATCCCATCATGCAATTCTAAAGACTGAATGAGGAAAAGAGCCTGCAATAAGAAAATTGACTTTCCTGTAAGGTAACAATGACAATACCTATTTCTTCAGTGGACTTTTCAAAGTGTCATGACCACATTTCATGCAATAATTATAAAATATTAACAAGAATGAGTAATTTGAAATTATTACTACGAGTAGCACCATTAATATACTTACTTGAGAATATGCTGCAAAAAATAAATTGTGCTACACTCCAAAATCCTTGTTCTCTCTAGTTGTTTTTACTATGTTAACGTTGAATGGTTATTTAGAAAAATAGAAAAAGGGTATCCTTTGAAAAAAAAACAATCTACATTTAATTTTACCGTTTATTTATGAAACAACAGTATCTTAATTAGAAAACGATTTTACTCCGTCACATAAGGATCAAATTGATAATAGCTTTAGTCATCAGATAAAACTATAGACATAGCTTAACAAAATACATAAATATGTATACAAGATAATACAGTAGTTCATATATAAAACATTAGTTAAGTTGCCATTTTATGCTTGCGACTTATCTACCACAGAGAACATTTAATTCTAAACCATTTTAATTGTGATATTGTTGAAATTAACTCTTAATTAAAAGAATTCATACAATTTCAATGCCTTCCCTTCCAGCCGATCTTGTACATGATATTAATTGACAGAAATGCTCATAAAAGCCTAGTTAAGTAATGCCCTTTAAACTAAATCTCGTAGAGATAAATTATTGCAAATTGATATATTAGGATCTAAGTGTAAGTACCGTAAAAGGTAGGTAGGGTTTAAATTCAATACAACCATAGAATATCGAGCTTTTCAATACAATTATATTCTTATGGATAAGAAAATAAGCAAAGGCATACTTACAGTACACCCACTTTACACTAGTGATGTGTGAGTTCTAAGTTAAAAAGTTCGAGTCTACTGCCCAAACACAAGACACGTTCCAAAAGTAAGTTACTGAGATTTTCAAAATACAATAACCCAGTAACAGTTTTCAGACTTGGGGAACCGAAGTAGTCTTGTACTTGGTAGTAGCATTTGCTAGTCAATAAGATAACGTTTAGATTGAAAATTCTAATACTATGAAAAGAGTTTCTTGCAAAAATAATGTTTAGCAGTTACTTGCAAAAGGTCTAGTTTAGTGTGATAACATAATTAGACAAATTGTATATAAGAGGTGCTTAAGTAACTTTTGGCTTCAAAACGTATTGGCAACGAGGATCATCATCAATAACTATATTCGCTTTAAAGGCAGCCTACATCTGAAGCATCAATACCTAACATCGCTAGATCATCCATTTCTTCCTTCTTTTTAGCAATATTTCCGTTCTGCTCTTCTTCTTTAGGCTTTTGAGGTGGTTCATGTTTTGGCCTCTGTTCAGGTTTATGCTGTTGTTGTCTCTTCTTGTTGTGTTGTGGCCGAGGTTTGGGGCTGGGGACTAGGGGCACATGAGTGTCGTAGAGTTGCGGTCGCGGCTGGAACAGTGGAGCGTTGAGGTCGAAACCAAACATTTGCGTCATCTGAGTCTGCATGAGTGGCAGGGGCGGGAAGGGAGGCATCACTCCTCCGAGGCCTGGGACGAAGCCAGGCGGTAATGGGAACAAGCCGTCTCCTTGCGAGAGGTCTGGCTTGACTTCCGTTGGGAAGATAATGTCCAGTGCGTCCTGGAAGTCCTTAGGAAGTGTTGGCTGCTGAGGAGGTTGCGGAGTTTGTTGCCTGTCAACAAAAATAATATTGATAATCAAACTGAAGTGGTAGTGAGGTAATGTGCAACTATTAACAGAGCCGATTATTTTCGAGGACTTTCTAGAGCGGGAATCAAGAATAATCTTAGAATAGGGCCCTCCATAAATGGTAAGTAGATATCTAACTACAAGGTGTAGTAAATAGTCACGAAGAGCTGGAAATCCAGCTCAGTGGCATATTTCCGGATCGGCCCTGGTTCTTGTGATGAAATTTTCGAGGAAATGTATGTGTAATAATAGGGCAGTAGTGTTACGTACATGAGTTGCGGCGGCGCGGGCGCGGGCGCGGGCGGCAGGTAGGGCAGGGCGGGCGCGGCGCCGGCCAGCGCGGTGGGCAGCGCCAGCGTCGGCGGCGCCAGCTCCACCTGCGCCTGCCGCTCCAACTGCGCGCGAGCTATCTTCTCCTTGAACTCCGCCACCTTACGGGGCACCAACGAGAGAAATGGTTTAGTTTATTTTTTTTTTATTTTTAAGAAAATTAGGTTAGTAGATGAGTCTTATATCTAAAGACTAGTAGTAAAACGGAATTAATGATCATTCACTTTAAACTGACGGCAAAAAACTGTCAGAGGCTAATTCTTAGTCAGTCAGGCGTCAGTGATTGTTGTTCAAGGTCTTAATGTAAATATGTGACTAATTATACAATTAATTCGGACTTTAAAGTTTTTAGTGGAATTTACAATGTTAGGTAATATTTAGAAGACGTTTTATAACTCAAAACCCTCTAAAAATTAACTAATAAAATAGTCAACACTACATACCTTCTTCTGTATTTCAGCATCCATCTCTTCCCTCCTCTTCTTGGTAGTTTCTTCCTCTTCCTTCTTCTTCTGTTCTTCTTTTTTCTGTTCCTCGGTTTTGGAATTCTTTCCCAAATGCTTGTAAACAGGCATTTTTCCTATAGCAAATATAGTATACAGACATGTTCCATATTGTTGTTGCCACAAATACCACAACCATCATATAAGACAATTAGATCATAATGTGATAAAAATAGATGAAAAATGCAAAAATATAATGTTTTTGGGTGTGCATTTGAGCAACTACTTAGTTTAGCTTGTGGCTTGACGAATAACTATCTACTTTTATGATTGACTGTGACTTGTGTAGGTTGAGCTATCTTGCAAAAGTATGGATGAACATTTGGACAACTTATTATGACTTTTAATATAATATGAACAATGAAAACAATTTCTATCATAATCATAAAGAAGAAGCAGCTAAAGATGGAATACTCATATTATGTAATTTTATAATACAAATAATACATCTTTAAAATATAGTGGTAAAGTACTACGCAAAGTTCTAATATTACTTTATCTCAATTTTAATAGGAAAATGTTCAAGTATAGAAGTGTAATGGTTACCTATGAAGGGCATCTTCCTGATCTCTGGTTTCTTAGTATCGAGTCGAGGCGTGGTCTCCCTCTCCCTCTGTTCCTCCCTCCGGTCGTCCCGGCGTCGCATGTCATCGCGCCGGTCTCGGTCCTCACGGGCGCGACTTTCTCGACGTTCACTCTCTCTGTGTATATGTGATACAAGATTTTAGGATATAGAAGACGATTTTTTCGCATAGTTGGGATCATCGAAGTTATCGAATTAATACCCCTTTGTTTTATTGAACAGAATGTTATTAATCTTTTTAACAAAATTATTTAACCATAGCTTGGGTGGTTTGTCAATGATATAGGACAGTTTGATATTGTATAATTATGTAAAGCAAGGTTTTGAATTTAATAACTGACCTCATTTTTCTCGATAATTCGGCTATGGTCCGCTCCCTATCGCTGCGGTCGGGTGACCTGCTTTCATCTGCTTTTTCTTTCTTCATTCTATAATAAGATAAATTAATTATTATAAAGGACTGAGAAAAGTTGCTGTGAGATAAACAACAACTTTGAGAACTTGGGTTTTAGCATCAGTGTTGAAAATCTCGACAATGATAACGAAACAATAATATAAAATCGGTTACTAAGTCGTAAATGCCATTAATACATACGCCGTTTTCAACTTTATTACCAAAGGGTAAGGTTGAAAATGTACCAAACAAATGTATGCGAGTAAACGACAGATTTTTATATCTGTCCTGGCACTTTTGCTGTGTAAAACTAATATAAGACTACATGCAGTTGGGTATAGAGATAGTGAAGGTACTTAATATTGAGCTTAACTGTATGCACTATCAGTTATGTCCAGTAGAGAACAGAAACTTGTAGATGGCAATGATAAAGTAATTTACCTGCTTTTAAGTGTGTCCAGCAGTTTCCGATCGTTATCATTCAGCCTGTCCATCTGTATATTGGACATCCATTCTGTGAGGGTCTTGTCATCCCGGCTGTCCAATTTACTCCTTTGTTTTTTAGCTGCAAAAATATAGTAAGTTATAGGTAATATAATATTAATCATAAAAATATTGCAGATTGGTAGGTAGGACGTAGTTGGTTTTTATGTATGTTTTATAGCTATGCATGCAGTACATTTTCAATTGCTGTACCTTTTATTTTGATAGCTATGGATCGTCTCATTGGTTAAAAAGCGTCTAAAAAATGAGACGTAATTTAGAATCTTGTCTATCATTATTTTAAAGCTTATTAATTTGTGGGTATTATTCAAGGACTGCTGTTAAATATTTGAAATCGTTAAATATTCATTAGCAATGCAACACACCTTTAGCCTTCTTCTTTTTAACAGGCTCACTATCCGAGCTGCTGGGCTCACTAGATGAGCTGCTGCTACTCTTTCTCTTACTCTTCTTCTTCTTATCCTTCTTCTTTTTCTCTTCTGGAGGGGCAGGAGACTCTTTATGCTTCGTATGGAACCCATCCTTGTTAAATGTAATGGTATGGGCAGTATACTGAGCTGGTTTTTCATCGGACTTGCCTTTAGTAGCCCGGGATTTCTCGAAGGCTTTCTGCCGGTCCGACATCCAGTCTGTTTCCCAGTGCGGGTTTTGTTCTACGAAATTCTGTGAAAGAAGTATATAAAAATCACTGAGGGGTTATTAAGTTTGTTTTTCCCTTTTTTTACGGGGAAAAATCATCGAATGACTTCTCCCGCCTAGGTGAGGCGGGAGGGAGTGTCAGACTCTTACTGACTAAAAACCACCCCGTTCCTTCTCCTGCACGTCGAGCCGGAGCCCCGATAACCGTTTAGGTTCTCCGCGACTGTTTTTCTCTTTAGAGAATAGTAATCGCGACCAAACTACGTCGAATAAGTACCTTAGTACTTTAAATTGTTCACAATAACTTCAAAATATAAATAACATTTGTTAATTTTAATACAGAACGTTATGTTTTAGTTTTATACGAATAAAGCGCAAGGTAGACTAACTGAGTCATAAATAATAAATACTCACAGTATAATTCTTGGAATGTATAACAGATTTGAGATGCGCAGAAGCACAATGGAGATCACCAATAAACTGATCGCACAGCTTGCAGTACCATGCTGTAGAGGGCACGAAGAATTGGAGACCTTGTGGAAGAGAAGATAAAACAATATTACACTATTGTACAAGATAATTGAGATTTAATCCTTACTATCCTTACTATCCTTACTATAATATTATAAATCTGAAAGTGAGTTTGTTTGTTTGTTTGTTCCACCTTCACGCCGTAACTACTCAACCGATTGCTTTGAATTTTTGCAGACGTAAAGTTCGAAGTCCGGATTAAATAATAGGGTACTTTTTATCCTGGAAAAATGTGATATTCCCGAGGGAAAACAAATGTATTGGTATAGATGGCGCTGTGTATTGGTATATGTCACAAAGGCTACTTTTTATCCTTTTGTGACGCGAGCGAAGCCGCGGGTAAAAGCTAGTCTATAGTCCATCTGTTTAGGTAATTAACTAAAGGTAAACAAAGAAAACCACGTGACACAGAGATACTTAACCTACTATTACTTCAAATATTTCTCGTGTTTTAATTTTAACTAAATTCACTTTAAAATCGTTCATTTGTCATACACACACATACAAGTACAAATGCCTAAATCGTACAAGAGCCTAGCCTATGGGTCTATTTCATTATCATGTTTAAATAGAAACTATTCTGAATCTGATGTACGGATTTCTTTCTTGTACGGATATCTGTCTTTGGGCCAAGTTTCTTCAATATATTTGAACACATTAATTACAAACGATGATTAACCTAAACTTAAATAACTTAATAACAAAAACAAAACAAAGAAACAAGATAAATTCAACAAAATAGGAACGCGAGCGCAAACGACGAGAGAGCTGTCAATGGCGCCTGATTAACCGACTAAACGTAATACACGCTACTTTCATTGTCGCGCTACATCTTCGTTGTACTCTTTAATTTGACAACATTATTTTGCTTCGTTCTTAAAGAAACGTTTTGGATACCTGGGATTTTAGGCTCTTTATGGTGTCTATTGTAATGAAATATTATATTATTTAATAAATGTTATTAAATTAATATCCTCAAGCAGATATATTTAATATTTATTAAGAAATAAGTGAAAAGGAACAGAAACATAACATTTAATAGAGAAAACTGTCGTAAAAAGGGAAACAATTTTATTTTCTTATGAAGTATTTTGAATCATGGAAATGTCAACTATAAAGAACTCTTTTTATGGTTTGTTTACAAATAGTTAACTACCTAAACAGACGGAGTATAGATATAAGTTCCTATGTATATTGTCGAACCACTGAAAAAGGGGTTACAATAAGATTTACCTTAAAAAGGTTTTCCATAATAGAATGTAATTCTATTATACAGTTCCTCCACTTGGAGAAGACAGGGGCTAACTCTAAAATCCGAATTCGATCGATCGCCATAGATGTTGTGAAATTTCATACCCTTGAGTAGCAACACTAGCGCCTATTGCATGGATATTGAATTAACTAAATACTATTTAGTTTGGCTTGATATTCTATACTCGGAATGCTTTTATAACAGCCACGACCACGCACGCTGCCCATGAGGACGAACCCCTCTGTGGTTCGAAACTAGTAGAGCTTTTCTCAGTATATTCACGTGAGTAATCCGCGATTTTTAGTTAACTATGTATTGAGATTTGTTTCAAGAGTAAGCTCTCAGGTCTGTTGGCCTGTTACATTAATGCAGTGTCCCAAGTCGCAAGTACAAATCCAGCTAGACTCCATGTAGAAGTTTAGTCTATATTTTTTGTAGCCCGATTAACTGTAATATTTTTAGCTATTGTTATATACCTATACGTTACCTTTAATAGGCGTGCGTTTAGTAGGTGCCGCAGGGAAGCTCGGGAATCCTTCATTGACGCCCGACACGGTGTGCCACGGGGCTTCCATGTGTGCTGCGGCCATCCTGCACAAATAACATTTGTGATTGTCATTACAAATATACATACAATACAAAATTCTTTATTGTAAACCATAAAAATAAAAAAGAACATAAAGATTACAAAAATAATAGAAGGAATGGCCTTATCAGAAAAAATCGATCTTCATCCATATCCAGTTCATACCTATTATTTTGCGACATAACGAGTCTCTCCCAGTCTTGAAATAAAAACAAAAATTCCCAGAAGACCGGGTATTTAGAATGGGAAAGTGTTTAAGGAGAGGTAACTTACTTATGATGTGCAGGGGAGTGCAAATGGTTCAGATAATCTTTAGCAGTCGGCGGGAATTCATTGCAGACGCGGCACCAGTGCATCTCAGGATCGTAGTACACATAGTTGAATTTCTTATTCGATGGTGACCTGATGGAAACCACAAGATATTATAGCAAACCATATATTCTAATAAAAAAGAAACAACAAGACGATTATTTATAATCAATGTGCTCACAGATAAAAAATCCCGCGCAAAACTGTGATTCCATTTTTAAATAAGAACGACAAAATCGTTAGAATCTTTTTATGCCAGTAGCATGCAATAAATAAAACCTTTTTAAATTGTCTTCTCTTGTTTTTCTGAAGTACATAGTAAGGGTTGTATGTACAGAAGGTTTTTACAGCTGGCAACTCTTCCTGATAATAAAACCGGTCAAAAAATCTTCCGATATACGAAAATTTTATTTCACCTAAAATTGAAACAACTGCTCTCACAACCAGATTTAATGCATACATAACATAAATTGCAACTTACACATATTTTACAATTTACAGAAAATCTTGCAAAAGGCAAAGTTAAATTAAAAAATACTTATTACAGATTTTATCTTATTGATATAATAAAACACAGCAATTGTACTGTTATAAGCCAAACACTGACAAAATAAATGGCAATACAAAATCTTATGTTGTATCTTATATAATTGTTTTTAATTCTAGCTCTTATACATCAGTTAAATTCATGATCATGTTATAAATAGAATAACATAATTATAGTACAGCATTTTATGCAGTCCATCGGTGAAAACTTCAAGCTTTTCTTCATGAAGTTGATCAATCACAGTTATAATAATATCATAGCAAATAGCTCCCGAGCTCTCGCGAAAGCTGTGAGTCCTGCTTGTTGGGAGAAAAATGTTGAAACTAAAAACTATTTATTTATACACATTGTCAGATAAATCAAAATGAGCATTCAAGTATGAAAGCTTATAACTATATGAAATATTTTGCCAATTTCAAACCTTATTATTAGAGAAATAAGCTTCCAAATAATAAATAGAGTAATTGAAAAGATAATTCAACCTGCCACAGGGCTGGACTGACCTAGATTTCCGTTTGGAGTTGCGTTCGGATGCGTTGTCGTTGTTGTCCTCGTCGACAATCTCGTGTACGTCCTCGCCAATGATCCCGTTGAGCATGTCCACAACATTGTAGATAGTCTTCAACTTGTTCTGTATCTCCAACTATAAGAAATGCATTGACGCCAAATATTATGTACCCTACTTACAAAACAAGCCTTAGTAAATAGCAAAAATATACACAAATGTGAGCTGTATGATTTAAAACATAAGACACATTGTTGTGTGTTGCTTGTCAAACCTGTAACTTGGTGTTTTCCTTCAAAAACCTCTTGGTGTCTGGGCTCGGCGATCGTTTCGCGTCGCCTCGTAGTTCGTTCCGTTGATCTTTCAATGTCTCCATCTCCTTCTTGAGTATATTTGCTTTCTTTATGTAATCTTCCCTCTGTTTGGATAATGCTGCTTTCTGATGTCGCATTTCTGATTCGATTGCAGCTGCGAAAATATTTTATTATTTTATAAAAAGTGTTAAGTTAATAAATTAAGTGTACTGTCATATTTTGAATGAAGATAGGAAAGTATGTCGTATATTTTATAACAACGTGAGAGCATTTAATATAACAATACACTTAATGAAAGCAAATATATATAATTAAGACTTTTCTTAGCTGTCATGGAACCAATTCTGCTAAACTCTAGAGGCTGTTTCAAGCGCAAGTACCTCTATTGTGGAATATTCTGACTTAGTTAAAACCATGCAAGAAATGCAAGTAATAGCAGAATGTGGTTGGAGGCGGTACAGTCATTGTATTATTAGTTAAAGCAGTGAGAAAGTTGAGTTGTTTGTTGCAGGTCTCGTCACACCAGAATATAAAACTTGGATCAACACTTTCCTATAAAACACTTACAAACTAAATGTAACAGGAAAATATACGAGTCCTGGAAACATTTCAACATAGATAATACAGTTGTTGGGGAACTATGACTACATAACAATATATAAAAATCAATAAAATATTAAGCTAGCAGACATAATGTAGAAGCGATGTCTATGAAAGCTGAGTTTCAGTAAAAATATCAACTTCCAGAAACAATAATTCCAGTTATCTTACATTTAATATGCTTTCAAAGCATTCTGATTATTATAGTAAACTATTACCCAAATTAGGTTAGTTTTAACAAAGAAAAAAAGGTTAGAATGATAAATAGTTGGATGTTCACATAAATTACAAATAAAAACAAAAATGGTACAAAGTTAATCCTGTTTCTATGAATATAACATTGATGAATTAATTACAAAACACATAAATATAGACAACACAAGATTATAATAAAATTCTTAAAAGGAGTTTATCCATACAAAATAAATCACATAAAACCTTCTTGCTGACCTGTAAAGAGAAAAATATAATATGTTTTAGTAGGAGTATAACATACCTTCTTTCTTGATCTGATCTTCAACATTGTTGATGAAGGGTGCTGGTGGCTGTTGAGGAGGTGGGGGCAACGACATCTGGTTCCATGCAGACATGTCTGGAGGTACTGGGGCTTGAGGAACCCCACCCACTGATGGGAAGTCATCATAGATACCAGAGTATGATGGCTGATAATTTGCATTGTAGCTTGGTGCTGTTGGTATTGGTGGTACACCCTTTAAATAATAAAATAGAAATATGAATTATCTAGTGTGTATAATAAATGTGGAAGACATGTGTGTATCAAAGCTTAAAAAGAGTTTTCTATGTTTTAGATATTAAGCAAAGCAAAGCATTTATGTCATAAACCAGTCAATATGGTGATGAAGTGTGTGGATGAAGATCTCAATTCCTTGCTTTCAGCTAATTATGAACTTAAGTCTTTGACTGCCAAAACTGTTGAATGCACATCCTCCGCTAATGACAGTCATCGATGACCCCCATGGCATGTAACATGTTAAAAAATTATTCAAAATAAGTAACTAATGTTGTTTTGCAAAGATATCTTTATTGCTTATTTGTGTATAGGTACAAGTATTAATTCTTAGGAAACATTCTTAACCCTTAGAGCGCCACGTCAGTCACCGGTGCCTGACGCTAGTGGAGGTTTGACTTTCACCATTTTAAACTTGGCAGTTAAAGTATTAAACAAGCTGCCCATGACGGATATGCAACACATATAAAATTAATATAATTGAATTGTGTTGCATCTAGCATATACATAATCAATTTCTTTATAAAAAAACTCAAGCAAATTATATAACTAATGCATAATTAATTAAGTATTATTTGTTATTGCATTTTAACCATTTTCCAATTAATGGCTTGATAGCTAGTGGTAGCTGATTAGCAATAATGGCAAAGATGGCTGATATGGTTAAAGTAAGCCTCAATGGCAGTGCAATTTGAAAATTCTACTGCACAGTGCACTGTATGGTGGCTGGGCAAGTTCGATTCCTGCACGGAACAATTCTTTGTATGATCCACAAATTGTAGTTTCCAGTCTGAATGTATGTGTGAAGTTATATGTTTGTACACATATCCACGACACAGGAGATAATACTCGTGTGGGGTACCATTAAAAAAATGTTGTCGATACTGCAAATACTGGATATATAGCTTAAAATCTTTTAACCATTAAGGTGAAAATTAATAACCAATCTTAAGCCAAAATCGTTGGATCAATTTGAAGTTTGAACAAAAAGTTCTTAATCCAAAGATTTTGGATCTATCCAAAAAAGCTGAAATTAATAACTGACTGATAGATCAGTCATTAATTAGAGCCATAAATGAAACCAAAAAATGAACATAACTAGTTATCAATTCCATACTCACTTCAACAAACAAAACACTAATTTTGTTCTTATCAATGTGGTCTAGTTAGCCAAGGCAACCATGTTGATTTATTATCGTTTTTAATTAACTTACATAAACTACATCTCCAATAGGTACTCATGTTTGCTTAGAGATGGGGAACAAAATCTGATATTTCTTTAGCTAATATGATGATGATATAATGTATGATTGAAGACAATGATGCTTTATGGTAATGCTTTTTTTTAAATCTACAGTTCTATACAAACAATTACACATTTTGTGCTTATCAATAGATTTCGATTAATTGATACTTCACCTCAGGCGGTGGAAAGCCAGGGGGCGGTTGTTGAAAGCCTACATTGTCTTGAAACTGTTGATTGTCCCATAGTTCACTTGGTTCAGGTAATTTCGATATCTCGCTCAGTATGTTCTCATCAAGGAGATCTTTTTCGTTCTTGGTCCGAGGTGAGCGGCTTCTTCGCTTGTCACTGTCGTCTCTTCGTGGAGGAGTACGGCTCCGTTTATGCATAGGACGGCTCCTATAATCCCGTGGATCTCGCAGGTCCCGTTCGCGGTCTCGATCCCGATTACGATCCCTGTCCCTATCACGCTCGCGATCCCTATCTCTATCCCAATCTCTCTCTCTGTTATAAAATCTGCCATCTTTTCTATGATCTCGCGACATTATTCCTCACTTATTTAGGACGATAATCAAAAATGTACGCTTTGTCTCAAAAAAATAACACACGCTTCTCTGACATTAGATCGGCGCCATTTGATTTTTGATTGTTGTGATGACAATGTTGCTATTTTAAAATACACGATCTATGTTTAAAAATGTTGCCATCTTTTGAATCTAAAAGGACTTTGGTATTTTTTACCAGGGATGTTGAAATCCACTTTGCCGTGCCCAACAATGCGCCGTTATTGTGGACATAGCGCAAAAGAGTATGAGATACCTATAAAAATTATCACAATAGTATCTGTATAAGTATATTACAATGAGTTCCGTGATTTCTGTAGCAGGACGCGATGCTTAGGTAGGATAAAATTTAAACACTAAAAAGCTTGTTCAATTTTCGATAACCGGGAATGATACCCGGGAATTGAAAAATTAGTACCTAAAGGAAACTAATTACTCTCACATGACATGTTTTGTCACTTTAATTACTTAATGATTATTAAAATGTGGGAGAACTATACTTTGGCATGAAGTGATCACAGCCTCACAGAAATTCGGTGTGAACAACGTTTGCGTTAGGTTTTGCTTTGTGAGTGAGGTTTCCGGGCGAAAACCAAATGCTCCTCCCCTTCCTTAATACCCAAATATCCATATCCTGATATTTTTAATCCCAAAAGGTCAGCAATGCACTTGTAACTCCTCTGGTTTTTCGGGTGTCGGGAGGGCGGCGGGCGCTCCGATAGCTTGCTATTGGTGATAGGTCTTCTCGTTCCTTGCCTTCTATTACTGTTGGTGGTATTTAACATGACCAGCTCTAATATAATGTATTTATCGGTTCTGAAAAGTATGTACCCAGAACTTAAGGTTTAAATTGCTCGGAACGTAATAATCACTACATAGTATAAAACAATGTCGCTATCCGCCGTCTGTCCCTTTGTATGCTTAGATCTATAAAAGTACGCAACGGATTTATATATACATGCATATTGCACCCGCGTGAAACCGGGGCGGGTCGCTAGTATAATTATCAATTCAACATAAACAGGTGGGTAGCTGTACTTCCCACACTACTTATCAAACATCGTCTCGAAGTTAATGCTCTGTCGGTTTAGATTGAAACTTACGTGTGTTTATATAAAGACAGCAATTACCACCAACACTTAAGCTGGAGGAAACTTCAAAGCGCCTGTTTGTCGTTGAATGGAACCAAACGCGGAAGTTTGTATAACAATTTTGTTTACATTTCAAATACGTCATACTCACTGATCTCCATTAAATCGTTCAACGAAGTGGAATAGACTTTTAACAAATGAAGTGTGCGCGACAGCAAACGTTGTGTTTGGGAGGGGGGGGGGGGACGTCACATCCAATGTTCCACTCGGTTTCATCTTATTTGACGGCTTAAGTGCGCCCCAGATTGGAATTCGCGCCAGTGCGACGCCATAGTGAAATTGAAGCATTAAGGCTTCAGGACACCTGATGAATTTGTTACATTTATTTAGACTATCCAATACGTATTGATGTTTCAGAATATTACTTTTTCAGACAATCGGAGATGTGGAAAATTGGATATTGGTACCTACGATACACTTTCCTTACGATACAGACCTGCCTACCAATCTAGTTATAAGGTATTTTGGCTGTATGCTACAGCCAAAATGTCCCTATTTTTCAAGGGAAGCTCTAGCTAGATAAGGTATAAGAAACGATGTGAATCTACAGAACAATTCTGGTATAAGTTATAACAAGCCGTATTTCATTACTATCTCCTTCGATTGTGCCATTAAACATTTGTAATGTGAAAAAACCTCGACCTACATGACCGGATCTAAATCCTGAGAAATCTTAATGGACACTTTGATATAGGGTCATTTGGCGATGACAGTTCCACTTTGAGCACCTTCGAGTCAGTAGCAATGCGTCTTCAGCTATCGGGACCCAATGATGTGTGGGCACTCCTGTGATAGATGGTATCCTTACGGCGACTAATGTTCATGGGAGCTCAGCAAGGAGGCTGGTTTATGGATAATTTGTGGCTGATTGATTGTATAGTATCGAGAAGACAGTAGCGGCTCAAACTAATCGACTCGAGTAAAGTTATTGATAGGCTATTAAGAATTATAAGCTGAAGTCAAAGTAGAAGTAAACGCATTCTATTGGTAGTTTTGCAGAAACCGAGAACCTAATCTAAATAATCGATCCTCTGCTAAGAGTTGTGTCAATCAGTAGTTTTATTTATTACAATTGCTACTGATATTTACGACCAAACTAGCTTTATTTTAAAAGCATACCATATGTCTAAGCCTTACTTGTTTTCTTGTTAACCTTTTCCACCTACGGCGCCGTGGTTACAAAGGTGAGAAACTCACCCAGCGACACCTTTACCCAATCACAAGGTCAGATATCAAACTTCATTAACCACAGTTATTGTATGTTATTGACATGTTGGAATATTAATTATTATTATAGAGGGCTAAAGGGGTATAAAATGGGAAGTCCTGCCCCAGTTTTACACATTCAAGCAAGGTGTGCTTCGTGAAAATAACCTATTCAAGGTAATATTAGTTTTTTATGTATTTGGTACATGTAATGTTATGAGTGCCTGCCTCGTTGGCCGAGTGGTCGTAAGTGCGACTGCCGGACAAGGGGTCTCGGGTTCGATTCCCGGGTCGGGCAAAGTATTACTGGGTTTTTAAATATTCTCAGTAGTAGCACGGAGTCTGGAATTGTGCCCGGTATATGGCAATAGGCTCACCCCCTATTACATGGGACTCATAACATAAATAGTGAAAAGTGGGTGTTACATTGTACAGTGGTATAATGTGCACCTCTGCCTACCCCTTCGGGGATAAAAAGGCGTGATGTTATGTTATGTAATGTTATGAGTAACCCTAGCAGTTTGTTGTTTACCATTTCCAATTGGATTTATTCAAAGACATTTGTTTAAAAATTCTTTACTTTATGTATTTTTTCACCACCATTCAACACATCATAACTAAATGCAGTGGCTCCATAAATATAAAATACTATTACATATACATTTAGGTGCATTTACATAATTCGTTTACTTTGTATCTTCTATGTTTCCTAGCTCCTAAATCCGTAAAGTAGAGATTTACACAATCGATTACCTTCTTGTTCCTTTAGTAAATTATTAGAATCAATATTCCATTTTAATTCTACTTAAAAATTAATTATATTTTCTTCTAGATGAATCCTCAACAATCTATCCTCCTTATGGCTCTCTGCGCTATCACGCTGTGTTCAGCGCACATCGGTGGTGGACAGGTGTCATTCCAAGATGCCAACCCTCAAATATACTGTGGCAGATCGTTGGCCAGAGCCCTGGCCTTTTTGTGTTTCGAAGAATCTGGCTCAGAGAATAAGAGGTCGGATTCCGGATCTATGTATAGTAAGTTCCTTATTTGAATTATTCAAAATTTACTGGTAGTATTCCAATACAGAAAAGGCCCATGTATTTATTGAATTTTAAAATTTAGAAACTTAATCATACTTTTGAAATTTGTCTCAAAAATCTATAAATTGGTTTGAAAATTAGACTAAATTCGTGACTGAAACATATTTCAGTAAACTTAGTGTGCAATATTAAAACTTTCAACTTTCATAATTACGTGCGTAAGCTGAAAACATAATAATTAATAATTTATTGCATAGTTTTCTAAATAATACGTATGCCACCGTTTTCGCATTTCGAATTTGTTTAAAAATACACCTAGAATGCAAGAATTATGTTCCCATCTGCAATCAATATGGAGATTATTACAATATTCCCTAACCGAGCGCTTCCCACAATAAGAGAAAGCACTTTTATAGTGTACCAGCTGCTTATCTCCTAGTGCAATTTGTTAAAGTCGAGTACAGGGAACGATTTATTACGCAAGCGGTCTACCGATCCGTCAGTATTTAATGCAATCTGAATGTATCTCCATATCTTCTGTGTAGGAACATTTATCTTCCAATTGAATACATTGAGCAAGACTAATTGTTGCAATGTTGAATCAGAAGAATTGGACGGTAGTGGTAGACTGGTAGATACTTCGGTTTTAAAATGGAATCGATAAAATAGTTGAGGGTAGTGTTTGGTATTTAATCACAATGGACTTAGTTGAATGGTACTGAATTAGGTAGGTACGTTGTTTATTTTTTGTAGTAGAAAGCAATGAAGCTAGAATATGAAAATACTGTTGATCAATGCAGCTACAAAAGTCAGCAGAAAATTCTGGCGTAACGTAACCGGTAACGATTTATAAACTTGGTGTTAATTAGACCAAAACTATTATTTCAGATGCTATCCTATCACCCTACTACAAGGAACAGGAAGGTCAGTTCGGGTGGCCCTGGATGGCCCCTCACAAAGCCAGGGGCATGTCCTTGCCCTCAAGAGGAAAGAGGTTCGTCGTCAATGAGTGCTGCGACAAGGCATGCAGCCTCAGTGAGCTACTCTCATATTGCTAGATAACTTTGTTACACTGTGTTGCTAGCTAGCTAAATTTGACATTTCGATAATTTGTAAAATCTATTTATGATTTTCTGGATGTTAGGATCTAATCGATTAATTGAGTTACAGAGTAGTTTATGTAGTGTTTCTGAGTTTTAAATTATTTTGAAATTCAGCGTTAGTTCTCTAAGAAATATGGATACTAAAATTCAAGTAACAGGTTCTTTTTTCTTAACATTAATACCTCTTTTCATTTTAACGTTTTAAATAATAAATGTCCCACGCTGGCAACACAGCGATAGCACTATTTTTCTATATTATTATTTCATCTCGATGGATGATCATAAATCATTATAAAACGGGTAATCCCCTGATAGTAGATCGTTGCTCAGACAGTCGTTTATGTGGACTTTTTACTTTTTTAGTAGATAAATGTTATTTATGAGTGAAAATATTTTATGTAGCTAATAATAAATCTATTGTTGTTGCAATCTTGTTTTATTTTATTCGCAGGAAAATTGGGCCTACTTTATTTATTGTTTTT